CTCTTAGCTCTTCATCATACCGGGAAGGCTGAGACTGGCCTTTCTTGGCTTATGTTATGTGTGTGGGCAAACACACACACACACACACACACACACACACACACACACACACACACACCCCACACCCTGCCACCGGCACTGCTCACCATCTCCCATCTGTGTCCCCCCTCTCCAACCTGCCCCTACTGACCATCTATTCTTCATATTCATATTTCTTGGGTTTTGTACTTCTATTAAGCTCTTAGACTTGGATCTAAGACGGTGACTGCCTTCATTGCCATTTCTTCCATAGTTCAGTTTGGACACATTCCCACGTCTTGACCGCATGTACCCACAAACGCCCCTGTGTCAGCCGCCTCTCCCAGACAAGAGTAAGCCAGCAGTTTCTACCGAGTGCTTCAAGTGGGACAAACGTTGTGCTCTTCACTCTAAAAGTATCATCTTATGAAATATTTATAACAACACTTGAGGTGGATTATATTAAGTCCAATTTAGAGATAAGGAAAAATTGAGTCTTAAAAAAAAATGTGTGTTACCTGAGGTCAATTGACAAGGCAGCAATGGAGTTGGGGCTTGCTAACAGGTGTGCAGACAGCCAAGCCAGCATGCGTGCATGTGTGTGTGACAATTCCGGGACTGGGCCGCACCCACTGTGGCCTTCTGCTCTCAACATAGGGGACAGTCATGTGCATTCCTGCCTTGGTCCAGTGGAATTGACCCAGTTGGTACAAATTCCCTCATATCTGCTGCCTGAAGAAGGGTCCAGTAGTTGATTTTACAGTGAACTGTGGTGAAGAGGAAATGACATTGCAGGGACCAGGGGCAGGCTGCCCCCAAATGTGCCACATTGGCATATTGATTATTTTGAATTAAAGCTACTTAAAAAAGAGCATTGCAAGAAGGACGCTCAGACCCTCCTATGTCCCCTTGAAAGCAGGAAAGAAACCTCCCACGTGAAAGGCACCCTCCCTGTTCCAGGAGACAGGGAAGCATTCTTACCACCAGAGATGGGGAATTCAGAGCTGAGAAGCCTGTGTCAGCCCCTCTTATTACTTTTTACTAATTTACTACCATAGTCCAAATTCTGTTTAGAGTTCCTTATTAATGGAAGCCCCCGAAGTTAAGTTTTCTTTGTCCTGTCAGTTCCTCACAGATTTATTGTCTCTTTGTCTAAAAGTATAAAAACTTCCTGCTTTGATCATTTCCTTGGGTCTCAATTTCGTTATTGGGCCTCCATGCACACGTAAAAATCTTTGAGGTTTTTTTCTCTGTGAACCTGTCTCAGGTAAATTTAATTTTTAGTCCAGCTAGAAGACCTTGAAAGGTAGGGGAAGATTTTTTCTTTCTCTTCAACATCATCGTCTTTGATGCCTCAGAGACATCACTCACTTCTTGTGTCACCATGAACAAATTATGTTATCCCTCTGAGTCTCATTTTCCTTGTCTGCAAAGTTCAGATGGCATAATTACTGACAATTTGTATGGATATCAAATGGAACAACATATGAAACCAATTTGCACATTGTCAGGCACGTAGGGAATGACTCATAAATGTATTTATAAATGCTGACTTTTTCCTCTCCCAGTTGTTGAGATCTGTGTCTTTAGTGCAATATGACTTTAAATTTTCTAGTCAATAAATGGAGAGATACAGAGCAAAAGTAAAATTAATAGGTTAGCAGGTTTTTTGTTAATATACAGATGAATTTATGTAGGGGAACACAAATTAGCATTAATGTTTATCACAGAGGGAGGCAGAGTCTCAAAAACAGCAAAGGAAAATTGCAAAAGGCAATAAGGTAACCTGGATAATTATTTTGGCAAAAGCAGGAAAAAGTGTTGGTGGCCAGTACCTTGACAAAAATTACACCAGTTTTCAGGACCTCCCTGCTTTTTCTTGGCAGGGTAGGTGCTTTCAAAGTACAGAGCTGTATTTTTGCATATTGTAACATGTTGGAAAGGAAACTCATTTTTCCCAGGAAGATCAACATCAAAGTCCAAAGGGCAGTGGACTCAGAAATCAAGAGAACTGTTTTCTATTAGCGGTTCTATAGTTGGGAATTTACCTTCAGCAAATTCCTGAATTTTGGGGATTGTGATGTTCCATCTGTAAAATGAGAACTGCTGGTCTCTCTAAGAAAGGTACAAACCTCGAATTACATGGCTCACAGACACGGTAAGCTTGGGCTTCCTCCAACCATGGCGACCTCCAAGTAGTTAGACTTCCACAGTAACTCAGGACAGGTGGAGGGAAGGAGAATCTGCCTTAGAGGTCATCGAAGGCAGAGCCAAAACAGACAGTGTCATGTCTAACTTCCATTATTCATCAAAGCAGTGATCAGTCAGCCCCGATTTAAGAGGAGGGAGCCCAGGCACCCTGTGTTTGAATGCAGCCATCTTCAATCCTCCACAAAAGTAATGCATATTTAGTGTTCCCAATGACACGACTCCATTGAAAGACATGGAGCAGAATGGGCTTGGTGATCTGTGAGCAGACCTGATGCCTTGTTTTGAACAATGACTGAGGAATGGATTCTCTGATGTGTAGAGGAAGATTTAAACATCCGAAGTATGGTGGACAAGAGTTGTACCTTGGACAGGGATTGGGAGAATATGGACATTTGCGTTTTCAAATATAGACATTTCACTTTTCTGAATTAAATATTGAAGCAGAATAAAAAGGAACTAAAGAGACAAGGGAAGAAATAGAAGGTTAACGGTCTCCTGTAATCTGAAAACAAAGAAATAGAGACACGAGGCAAGGAAACAATAGAGGCCGATTCAGATGAAATTTGTATGGAGGAAATTCTCACCTTATTTATTTCCAGGAAAAAAAAAATATGTTTACTGTGTTTCCATGATGCTTAAGACTGACCATTTGGAAGAAATGTATGTCCCAGAATTTAAAAAAAAAATAGAAAGAAAAGTAATTTGGGAAAGAGGAGTTAACCACTGGTGACTTATTGTATGCTAATAAACAAATATTAGGAAAAAATAAAGGGTAGACAGAAGTGTGATTAATATGAGATTCACTTTATGGATTAATTGGTGTTTATTAATGGGCATTGCTCACACTAACTAAAGATGCTGTGTGTTGAATTTAGTTTATACCTCACATGAGAAATTGGCTTTCAAAATGAAAGGCTCTTTGTCCCAGTGATAATTACATAAAATGAGCCTTGCCTCTATCGCTTACAGTCATGGATATCCAGTGTGTCTGTGGGTACCTTCTTCGCAGGCATAGCCCCACCCACAGAGATTCTCCCAACTGTTAGTTCTGGGGTAAAACCAGAAGTGTGTATGGCTAAGAAGCACCCCAAAGATTCTGGAAAGCACTGCCCTATTATAACCCAAAAATTTGGCTTCTCCCCCAGAACCCCTACCTACCAACCATGGGATGTTCGTACAGTTAGTACATCTATTTTCCCAATAAGAAGGAAAATTTTGAAATGCACCAAATTTTGAAAAATATAAAAGTTGGTTACAATGTTTGCTACTTGGAGGCATCTTTTTAAAAGAATACCTTCAACAGGGCTAGACTTTTAAATTCACTGAGTAGGGCACGTGAAATGTGAAATCAAATGTGAAATCAAATAAATATGTTCACACCCTTTAGCTTCATCTTCCATTAAGTGTGAAAACCTCTTAGCTTTATAGGGCTCTGAAGGGCCTGTGACAGCATATCAGGTGCTTTCCTGACAGCGTCTTGGAGGAAGGCTGTTCACACCGGATGCAGAATATGGCAAGTCTCAGAGGCAGGGCGTGCAGTGGGAAAGGGCCAGACCACGGGGAGTATACAGGTCTCTGAAGTTAGGCTTGACAGACATGATCTTTCCCGCTCCCACTTCTGCCAAGTGTCAGGTATTAAAAGAGGAAATGTGAGGTTTTATTGATTAGAGGATTGCCCATTGCCTGTCAGAAAGTGAACATTTGCTCAGATTGCGTCAGAGAAATGTGTACTTAGACCACATAAAATTATTTCTGGATATTTTTTTTTAAACCTGGTGTGAATCAATAAAAATATATTTCTCTCTCGAAAATGCAATGTAAATTATTGTTCTCTTTGAACTAATCATATGCGTGGGCACCTGAGTGACATTGTGTTGATCTCTGGGGCTAACGTTAAAATTTATGTTTCCAGTAAGAACATATGCCACACTTTCACCACAGAGCTTCTCAGGGAAAACACGTTTTTAATATGTAAAATATCCTATTGCAGGAGCACAGAAAAAGATCCATTTGAGAAAAGATCCATTGGGTAAGGGTGGGAGGAGGTGTCTGGAAAAATTGTAAGACACTGAAATGGGTGAAGAGGATTAATGGTGTCTTGTGTTGGGCACCATTTGGGAGTATCTGTATCTGAAAGCACTTGCACCTCCAATCAGAGTTATTTTATAGTTCAATAAATTGCAGAAAGCTGATAGTAATGCAAATAATTCTTGTTCATAGAAATGCAAATATACTTGTCTGGTGGGTACAACTGGTTATTATTCTGGCTGTTTACCAGCATTCCTGATTGTCTGTATGCCCTTTGAATTCTCCTTGGAATCAGTTGTACTATCTTTTTTGTTCCTTCTAAATTAATGAATGAGATCAAATTGTCTACAAGTGCTCATTTCATATGTTTGGAGTCATAATTTTACTTTTTTTTTAAAAAGTTAACCTTAAACAGCAAATTAGGCAGGTATCTGTTACAGATTCTGTCATATGTCCCCCAAATTTAACCCTCAACTTATTTTTTTATTAAGATTTTATTTATTTATTTGAGAGAGAGAGAGAAAGAGTACAAGCAGGGAGAGTGGGAGAGGAAGAAGCAGACTCGCTGCTGAGCAGGGAGCCCGATGTGGGGCTCGATCCCAAGACCCTGGGATCATGACCTGAGCCGAAGGCAGACATTTAACCGACTGAGCCACCCAGGTGCCCCAACCCTCAACTTCTAAAAGAGCAGATTTCATCCTAATATTTTACATAAAGCCTGACACATCTCCTTTTTCTTTTAGCTTCAGACAAGCTTGACTGAGCCAATGACGTTATCCAAATCAATATCTCTTCCTCGTAGCGCGTACTGGCATCACATCACTCGTCAGAACAGTGTTGGAGAAATCTACAGTTTGCAAGGCAAGTAACTTGAAAATAATAAAGCAGCACCTCCATTAGCCTCCTACAGGTGGGCCAGGAGTCATGCAAATTGCTTTGCTTGCTTTTCCTCCTTTTTCATTTATCAGCTGTCATGGGCCACAGTGGGAGCTCTGAGATTTACCGTGGCTTTTCTAAAGCTATCACTTCATAGACTCATGGTAGAAATTATCCCAAAAGTCACTAAGGGCTGAAGACCCTATTTGGCACAGGAACTTGACTAGGACATTATACAAAACATATTATCAAAAGCTACAAGTAGCTGGTACTGGGGTCTGTTTCATGCCGTTTTACAAAGGATTTCTTTCTTAGCATCCTTTTTTCTAAATAGAATTAAATATCCATTCAGGAGGCTGATTTCAGGCTCTGTAATAAAATGCTACATAAACCTACTCACAGAAGTCTTACGGTTTATCCAAAACCTTGACATAGAAATAATTCTGGAGGGTGCAAGGCAGGAGACAAGCATGAATACTTTGCTTCTGTGTATTTCCTAATGATGAATGTATAATCAACTAAAATGGGAATGGTTTACCAGATGAATCAGATTGATAGATAGCAGGTATTTCATCAAAAGCAGCACAAACCTCAGCTTTGGCATTTTTTTTCTCCTATTCTTTCCCTACCGTCTTAAAATGAATAATCTTATCCTTCAGATAAAATTTTTGGCGACAAGCAGCTGACCAAGACTGAAGGAAGTGGGAACTCGGAAAAATAAAGCTAACAAAACACATTCATCCAACAAAGATTTTTTGAGCATTGAACATAATAGGCACCCAATAAATATCTGGTGAAGGAATGACTGGTATGACCTTCAGCACAGTTAGGCATTCAGAATGTTTTACCATTCATACTTTAACTTTTGCTCATATTAACAACACTAAGTGTTTCAACAACAACAACACAATGTTTTGGTGACAAGGAAACTGAAATGCTGCATTTCTAAAGCAATCTTTGCTTGCCAGAATTTCCAAACTAGACTAATGGAATTTGGTCAGTGGGAATTAATGATTAAAGGTATATTCTGCAAGGAAAAAGAGAACAAATTTGTTGATGACAATTGCATTTTATATTTTAAATGAACCCTCTTATGGGTAGTTATTACCTTTTTGTGTTGTTTGTTTTCATGAGAAAATCTTGAATAGGATAAGGAGTAGAGGATTGAAGGGACTCTTGACAATCTTGTGGATCAGAAAGAGGAGACACATACCTCGCTCTTGCTTCCTTCTACAAATGCCAGCAACCACACGCTAAAACTGAGTCATGATCTTGGGATTAGAAATAATTAGAAAATACGCCTTTAATGTAATGTTATTTTTATTTAAACATAAACCTATATATGAAATGATTGTTGAAAAACAAAATTCAACTGAGTAAATTTTACATATCATATTGGCTTTATTCAGTGATTCATGAGCAGACAGCATGTCACCCAACAGATAGAAAAGAGGTCTGAGGAGCTACATATAAAAAAAGACTTAAAGGCAAAGGGAGCAGGGACAAGGATGTTCTACTGGCCAAGCATGGATCTGGGGTAGCAATGTCACTTTCCTTTAGGAGATGGCAGGAGTCTGTCGGACCGATGACCTCACTAGTACTGACCAGGTAGTTCCCACTGATTGGTTTAAGATTCTTTTTCTGGGAGAGATGAAACTGTAATTCAGTTATGTGCTAAGTCTCAGGTGGGCATTATGGGGCTTAGCCTAAGTGACTCTATATTGAGCCTGTTGTCTTGTTTTTAACAATATCGATATTTAATGAAGTAAAAATAAAACCATGGGACATTTTCATGAGGAAATACAAATGAGCAAATTTCTAAGCAAAAAGAAAGTCAGATGTTAATACAAATAAGTTCAAAAAAGGTTGGAGCCAATGAAGTGATAACTTTGGGTTTCGATAAGAGTTTGTTCTGTAATTCCAGCAAATGAAAGATTGTTGTTTTCATGGAAGTGTGTGGGGAACTTTTCTCTGAAAGGAGAGCTGACATTTAGACTGATGCACAACATCAGAAATAATTTCATATGCATCCAGCAAAAAATGCCAGAACACATTTAAATTTCTCAAAATATCGATGAAGACTTGCAGGGGGACAGTGTTGACTTACAATACAATAGAATCAATAACAGTTTGGACACTCTAGGATCTATCTCACAGATACTAATTTCCACCAAAGGTAAGGATTTAAATGCTCTATCAATTATGATGAACAGTTTGCCTGTAAAGTCTCAATAGCACATTCTTCCTTGGTTGATTGTCGTTTTGTGTAACAAAGGAATATGCATCGACTAAAGTTGAGTACTACAAGTCCAATAAATATAGAGTGTATTTGATGTAAACTACATTTCTCTCCACTGTGGCTTTATTTTTATATCGTATGCTTCTTAGAGCAATATGTTTTACCATTGTACATACCCCTCCTTTTATGGTTATATCTTAGAGAGGGAGATATAGAAAGATGGATAGCTAGATCATCAGTAAGTAGATTATATAGAGATAGATACAGATATAAACTTGTTAGTGATGCTTTGACAAAGCTGATATATTTTACTCTCCTTTTGTTCTCTTGAGACAGTCAAGGCAAGCAGAGGACAAGAGTCTTTTGACCATAGTGTTTTGTTGTTGTTGTTGTTTTATTGGTGTGTAATTGGCACAGGCTTCACCCTCATGGAATCAGGGCATGATAAAACTACCAAAACAGGAAATAAAAATGGAAAAAGTGAGCCTTAGCCCCCCTTCTTCATACACATCTGCATGTGTTTTCAAGAAACTACATTTGAGCATTTGAGGGCGCCTGGGTGGCTCAGCTGGTTAAGCGACTGCCTTCGGCTCAGGTCATGATCCTGGAGTCCCGGGATCGAGTCCCGCATCGGGCTCCCTGCTCAGCGGGGAGTCTGCTTCTCCCTCTGACCTTCCCTCCTCTCATGTGCTCTCTCTCTCTCTCTCTCATTCTGTCTCTCAAATAAATAAATAAAATCTTTAAAAAAAAAGAAACTACATTTGATGTTTCCAATCTGAGTTATTTTATAATTCAATAACTTGCAGAAAGCAAAAGGAGAACATAGTCTCATTTTCCAGAGCCAAAGGAAAAATGGGTGATGGTGGGTGTGACATCGTCAAGTAAACTGCAGGTAGCACTGAGGAATAAAAATGTGTCTTTAGAATTTTTCATCGTATTTTCTACATTCTAACTGTGAAGCTGAGATCAATATGAATTAAATTCAGCAGGTTTTCATTCAGAAGGTAAAGGGGAAAAGCTTTCTATATCTAAAGCTTCATAGAATGGGATTCATTAAGAAGCAGCACATGTACTAGAACTGAAAAAATATTCATGGTGTGAAAACAAATCTATTCCACATTATGACATACCTATAACTTCAATTGCCTGTCACCCTCAAAACTGTGCTTGCTCAGGTTTATTGGATTCATTTCTGTCATCTGTTCTATAACTATAGAAGCGAGATTCTCTCTAAAAGACCAATGTATCAATACTGACATCCTGCATTTACTTTAATGTTTGGAAAAGAAGTGCAGTATAATCTACTAAATCTCTCCATGCTTCTCCATGGTGCTCTGAAAGTGTATGTTTTTCTGGTTTCTGTCTTGTGCTCTCTGAAGTCAAAAGACTAACAAAAAGAATAATTCGCTTTAACAAGTACAAGTTAGCTAAGGACTAGGCAGCTACTATGGAAAATCCCTCCCCCTAAGGGGCTTGTGAGAGACTGGATCACATCACCTCTTCTTGCAGAAGATGTGAGTGAAGACTTTTCCTGTTCCCGATTTTTGCCAGATAATAAGGATGATTAGTTTGTATTAGAAAGTAATTCTGTTTCTATTTCTCTGACCTATGCACTTATGAAAAATGTTTGCGTCACAACACGTTGTAGAGATGCTATCTCTAGACTTAGGGAAACCATTTACTTCAAGAGAAGGAAACATGATTTTGAACTCTTGACTCAAAAGTAAATGCCACTTGTTTAATATTGCTAGAATTGTGATTTTGGTTCGAAGACCTTCAGCAGATGTGTCAAGAGTATGAAGAACACTCAAAAAAACCCAAAAAGGTGAGAGGGGGTTGGGGAGGAAAAGAAAAAAGAAAAGAAACAAACAAAACCCCATAAGGAGTTTAGAGCTTTTCTTTGGAAGGTCATCACCTTGACTTGTAGTCACTGTCCTCATAACTATATGACAGATTGTGTAGCAGGGTCTTTAAGTCAGGATTTGTGAAGACGGCAAAGCATTTATTGAAAATGACAAATCAATCTAGTAAAAACCACTGATGGTCCCAGGCTCACTGCAGGCACTCATCGAGCCTTTGTTGAATGCAAAAATGAATTTAAAAATGCATTCGGAAGGACAGACTACCTTGTCTCCTCCCTGAGGAAAATTCGCACCCGTCCTACAGAAGGAATCATCATGTCTGGCCCTACACACAGCCCACCCTGTGCACCCATCTTCCCTTTGCACACCCTTTGGCTTGTCTGCTTCTTGCTTTAGGATTGCCTTGAGTCCACAGATATTTGCTCCTGCTGGTCTTTACTTGGTAAACACAGATAGCGCTATGAGCTGCCATCTCTCTGTCCCCATAACCCGAGAGCTGGCTTTCAGGCTTCCACCAGCTATACTGACACGAAGGGGGGACAAGAATGTGGGCTGAAAACGGTCCCCTGGTTAGTGGGCTTTGGGACGTGTGCTATCCTTACATTTTCCCTGATACATATCATCACCTATTTTTACACAAAACTATATGGGATATACTGTGACTCGGTTTGGAGCAGCTTGAACAACCTCACTGCATCAAAGGTGGGGAGGGTGCCGCTTGTAAAAGTGGTAACTTTTGGAGTTGTGCTTTCATTAACACTGATTAATATGCACCTGCCAACTCTACCCTCTCTATGTCAGCAATTAAGCTGCAGACCCCCCGAGTCAGCACAGCGCGCACCTGATTACACAGAAGGCAGTTGATGCTCACCAAAAGGGCATCG